TGCTGATGGCCCACACCATGTCATGGACGTCACTTTTGAGTAGTTTGATCTATTTAATATTTATTCAACTGGTAAAGTAGTGATGCCATATTACACGAAGGAGGGTATCCTCAATGTGTAGTGTGGATTTTGTCTTTACAGGGACAGTGCAGTGGTCACTTGGACCATTCTGTCATGGACAGATATATCTGAAGCAGGCAGATTGGGGAGAATGAGATTAAGTGGGTTTTTCCCTCATCACCTCCCACAGGCCTAATCTAGCAATTATTCATAGCATATCCAGCTGGAACAGTAGTTGTATGACCAAGCCATACTTGGTGACAGACTCTGGAGACTCCCAAAGTAAATTTTGTGCCCTTGCCAACCTCACTGGCTCTTCTAATTGGTATTCAAGGTGGAAGAGGATCATTTCATCAGCCGAAAGAGGAAGACTTCCTTGTCCACGTTTGACCCGATACCATGAGGTTCCATAGAGTACGGAGGCAATGTTGAAGATTCCTGGTACAAAACACCCCGACTGCATACCATGGTAAAATCACCTCTGCCCAACAGACAGGACGTAATATGTGATGGTGATGTAAGACCACAAGACCCTAAGAAACAAGGACAGGAGTAGACTGTTCAGCCCCTCAAGTCTGCTCCGCCATTCAGGAGGATCATGGATGATCCAATATTCCTTACTTTCATGTCATTTCCCCATAACTCTTGATTCTACCACAGATAAAGAATTTAGCTCAATCTTAAATATACACAGGCTCTGCAGCAAGTAGTTCCAGAACTGAAATGGATCACTGGTCTTGAAACGTTAACTCAGCTTTTTCTCCACAGATGCTACCAGACATGCCGAGTTTCTCTAGCAATTTCTGGTTTTGTACCATTAGTGCTGTGTGCTAGCTTTCATTGTTTTGTGCCTTTGATTTGCAGATTTATGCAGTTTTGCCCCATTTAAATAACAATGTTCTTTTGTTCTCCCTTCCAAAATCAACAACTTCACATTTTTCTACATTATATTCTATTTCTACATTATACTACAATCAATATCGCCCTGGAAACTGCTTATATCCTTCTCACAACTTGCCTGTTTGGTCTGCAAATTTGATTACAGTGCATTCACTTCCTTCCTCCATGCCACTAATATGTATTGTAAACAGTTGTGGTGCCACCACCCACTCCTGCACAACCCCATTGGTTACAGATCACTAACCTTAAAAAGAACATCTCATCTCCACTTGCTGTTTCCTGTCCATTAGCCATATCTTTACCCATACAACACATTACCTCTCAACACCATGGGCTCTTATCTTATGAATTTTGCAACGCACCCTGTTGAACACCTTCTGGAAATCCAAATACTTCACAGCTACTGGTTTCCCTCTACACACTCTGGTTGAGACTTCCTCAAAAAGCTCTAATAAATTAGACAGACAAGTTTTTCATCATTAAGCCACGCTAACTCTGCTTGATTATCTAAATGTGTTGCCATTACTTTCTTAATAAATGCTCCCAGTATTATTCCAACAGTAGATGTCAGGTTGATCAGCCTATAATTCCCCACTTTTTGTCTCACTCCCAATTTGAATAGAGGTGTCACAGTGAGTTTTCCAATCCTCCGATACATTTCTAGAATCCAAGGATTTTTGGAAAATTACAACCTGTATAGTCACTATCTCTGTAGCTACTTCTTTTAGGATCCCAGGATGCAAGCCATCGGGGCCAGGGAACTTATCTACCTCCAGCCTCATTAGTTTGTCTAATATTATTTCTCTACAGATGGTGGTGGTGGTTAATCATGGAAGGGAGCTATGTTCACTTTAGCCTCTCTCTTCCTTTTTATATATTTATCAGTTTTTACATTCTTGCTGGTGCACCCTCATTGTTTATATTCTCTTTATTGTCTTTTTAGTCCTCCCGTTCCTGGATTTTGAATTTATCTCAGTTTTCAGGGCTATCACTGACTTTTTCCTCCTCATATGCTTTTTCTTTCAACTTTATACTCTCCTTAATTTCCTGATATTGTCTTGGATGTTGTCTGTAAGGTAGGATGCCATGAGAATGGACAGCTGTCCCTGATGTTAATAAGGACTCACAGGGTCAACAAACCTGGGCATGCAATTGTGGCTCCCAGTGGTTAGGTTGATGCCAGCCTCTGACCTTTAATATTATTCAAACACATTCAGGGATAAAGTTTATATTAAACAAGCTCAATTCATGAAAGCAATAAGAATGATTCATTGATAATCAAAGTCAATTTATAACAGTCCCACCTGACTCTCAGTATTTAAAATAATTTCTCTCTGAACCAGCTGAAGAGGTCTTCTCATCAATTCAGAGAGCAGTAGATATCCTATCTGGGTATCACCTTTCCTGGTGAAATATAATCTGAAAGTACTATGCACCTTTGTTACAATGGCTACCTCTTCTGAGAGCTAACCTTTCTGAAAGAAATCCATAAAGGCAAGTTTTTTTAAAAAGAAAAAGAACCTTTCCCTTATTCTCATAAATTGCTTCTTCAAAATTTGCTACATTCAATCACCCTGAATATTTTAGAAAACAAAGATACCAGACTATTGATTGTGTTAAGATTATAATGCAAGGGAACCTCATAAATTGGAGTGGGTATAATCTTCAGTTGTCATAAGTAGTCTTCAAAGAAATTTGGTGATTGCATGAAAATCAAAGTCCTGGGAAAATAATTCAAAATTACAAAATAGTGGCAATCCACACAGTTGTAGCTATCCAAGTCACTTGGAGCAATTCCTGATTAACAAATCTCACTGATCCTGGCATCTCAATGCATTGGTGGATATGATGAGATGCTCATTGACCCCTCTTAAGACTGTTTGTAATTGAAATTATTTTTAATCTCCTAGAAAGCAGCAGTTGCTGGATTATACCCACTCACTGCACTACTAAATCTCAAACCAGAACCTGCCCTACATCATTCTCTCCCATTTGACCTTGCACTAGTGTACAAGAGGACTGCCCTATTTTCCAAACAAAATATCAGCCACTTTCTAGACTTATTAAAATTATGCACATTTTAAATAAGAAAAACACCTCTTTTCTAGAGGACAGGAAGCTTTAACATAGGTATCTGGGATTAATTTTTCCTAAACGAAATGATTTAACACTGAGGTAAAACAAGGGAGTGTGGATGCTGCAAATCTGAAACAAACAAGTTGCTGGAGAAACTCAGCAGGTCTGATGTTGAGTCCAGTGACCGTTCTTCAGTGACCTGTTCTAATGAAGGGTCACCAGACTCGAAACATTAATTCTGCTTTCTCTCCACATGCAGATGTTGCAGATCTGCTGAGTTTGTCAAGCAATTTCTGTTTTTGAGTGAAATTGATTAGTTTGCTTTCTCTGACTACAATGGCCCTTGTTACTTTCGAGGTGTACAAGCCAGGCTGATGATTGACTTATATGGAGGTTTTCCTTGTATAGAGGCGTATCTGGAGTCTCAATCATTCATGAAAAACACATGGAAGAGGGCTTTTGTACCTCAGAGCCAGGAGGCCCATGTTCAATTCCACCTTGTCCAGAGATGTGTAATAACATCTCTGAACAAGCTGATTAGAAAGAATCTAAAAAACACATGGAATGGAAACAGCAATGCATGAGACTTCAGAGAAGAGGCAATATGGTTCAACTTTCAGAGCTCAAATTCAATTCTGACATGTGACTTCTATGGCTATTTATTTCAAGACTAATTCCATGAATGTTCAACTTCATAAATATATTTCATACTCAGGCATACTTTAAAATAATGCCAAAATACAACAAATTCAATCAGCGATAGAAATTCAATCAGAAATTCAAGTTTGTTTTTCACCCGCAGAACATAATGCAATATCGAATGGATAAATCCTCCAGCAAGTCAATGATTACAAATAGCTGAACTTCATTGACTTTAGTGACATTTTGGGTGACTTAGCTGTGCTACTTCAATTCAAAACCCCTTTTTATTAAAAGTTTATCGTTAGTACAAAGGATCATTACAATTGTAAACTGCAATTCATTTCACAAAACTACTGGAAATGTGACAATAATAATCAAGTAAGTGACATTATGCGTCAGGCTACACTATTCTGCACTAATACTGTAAAACCAGGACCATTACTGATCATGGATCGTAGGAACTGCAGATGCTGCAGAATCTGAGACAACAAGGTGCAGGGCTGGATGAACACAGCAGGCCTCTGCTCCTATGATGCTGCTTGGCCTGCTGTGTTCATCCAGCCCTGCACCTTGTTGTCCCATTACTGATCATGACATGTTTGATGGAAATATTGGGGGGCGGGGGCAGCGCGGAGAGATATTCAAGTGAAAATTACATATCTATTTGACTCGTTAAACTGCACATCAAGCATACTATATACAAGCTTTTAATAAATTCCAAGGACAACTAAACAGTTTAAAAATTAGCTATGTAAAAAACAAAAATTAAAATCAAGGGGGCCCAGTGATCCCTAGGTCGGGCTTTCTTGACAGCACCAAAAGGACCAGATTTCTCTGACACCTGTTTTATGATCCCTGAAAGCTCTTCTGTAAGGAGCACAAGTTACCGTTACAAACCAATACTGTTTAATAAAAATAGGAGGGGAGGTCAAAATAGAACAGTTGAATGGAACTGTTCTCCTTCAAAAGGGGTAAAATTTAACATCAATTAGACCAATCAATTAGAAATGAGATGAAGTGCAACAGACAAAATCGCCAGGCACATTAACAGAAATCGCACACCGTGTCGCCATTTTGTGACTTCAATCGAGAAAAGGGGAGTTTTAGTTCTACACGAGCCGAGGGAGAAGGGGGCTGAAGAGAAAGGTCACTTCGGTTAAAGTGGAGGAATATTTTTCTACTGCTAAAGAAAGTAAAAGAACAAAATGATGAGAGAACTGCACAGGGGTGGGAGTTGAGAGGGAGGAGGAGGTAAAGAGGGATCTGTGTATTTGAATGAAAGTGTGAGAGGCCGCGGAATGTGCGCGATGATAAACACGTACCTGTACTGCGCAGCACCACCATGGGCAAATCCAAAGTAGTTACTGGTAGCCATTTTGGCATCTTCGCCTAGCCGGCCGGGCACTGAGCACCACGCGAAGCGCCCAAACAAACAAGAGGGAGAAGGGAGAGACCAGTAAAACATCATAGGTCACATCGTTCAGCTTCAGCAAACAAGAGAAAAAAAAAATTCTCTAACTTTAGCATTCTCCGAGGGCCGCAAACAGCACCACCATTTTTTTTCACTCTCAATCCAAGAAAATAACAAAAAGGGTGCGTTTTTTTAAACAAAAATAGCCAATTCCACTTACCGTACGTGAAAGAAACTACTGGGCATATAGGAATCATGGGGGTTTCTTTGAGCCACCAACCGCGACCTTTCACCTTCGAGTGTTGGAACCTGTGGAGAGAAACGTCACTGTCAAGACGGGAGAGCGCATTGCGCATGCGGCAACGGGACCCGCGCGCTGCCTGCTGGGGGATGTAGTCTTTTGCTTCTCACTGCATAACAACAACTTGTATTTCCATATTTAAAACAAACAATACGAGGCAAAGCCGACGAAATACGGGGGATTGGGGGAGGTGGTCGGATGCACTTTGTTCTCACGCAAACGAGCCACGCGCATAGGAATTATCTACAAAATAAAAATTTAGTAAATAAAAATTCAAACCTTGTATCCAGTCCAGAGAGAGAAGGAAGGAAGGCTGGTGCGAGACTCAGATCCCCATTCGATGTGCTGAACTGTCTGATTCCCTTCCTCCACCACAGATTTGGGAATATCAATTCACCTTTTTTTTACAGAAAAATAAAGATCCGCTTGTTTCTGTGCGTCTTTCTATAAGAACAGAAACATTTAACAACTGCTAGATTCATTTCAAACGATCTGCAATCAGCTTCAACGTTCTTTTATCTCATGTCGCCTGGGCTGCCAATGATCTGACCTTGGCAAGACTGCAATCGAACAATCTTAATCCAGCCTTGTCAAGTGTAATAATGCATAAGGCTCACGCGTTTACAGCTCTTCTTACACCCTTCCGCGAAGATGATCGTACTGTGTCCCAGTTTCGCTGGCAGCATTACATGTACTGCACCAATAAATAATTTTGCAGCAGTCCAACAATCTATGTTTCCTTACACGGAGTTACCAGATGCCCGTGGAGGTCTATTCTGAAAGGGGAAGCACTGCGTAAAATGTGTACAACACGACGACACCAGCACTACATTCATTGGTCTTATTGCCAATACCAACAGAAGAGTCATGAATTGCATGTACACTACAAGGATGGTGGTTGTGAGAAATTAAACTGAACTATAGCTAATTGTATAAAGTAGAGTTGTAAGCGAGGGATATAGTAAGAGTAAATTAAAGTAAGGAGAAAATGTACTGGAGAAACTTAAGGACCTAAAATCCCAACAAATCCCCTGAACCTGAAAGCCAACACCCTTACGTTCTAAAACATATAACTGCAGAGATTGTGGATACACAAATATGATTTTCCAAAATTCCCTGGATTCTAGAATGGCCCCAGCAGAATTAAAGTTAGCAATAACATAATAAGGAAGAAGAGAGAAAATAGGGTTAACCTGATAACAGCTGTTGAGAAAATTATGGAATCTATAATTAATGTAGTCATGAGCAGTACACATACTGATCATACAAAGTCAACATAATATTATGAAAGGGAAATCATATTTGACAAATTTACTAGAATTTTTAAAGTTGTATTTAGTACAACGAGCGGATGCTTGGATTTCAAATGTTGGCACAGCCCATAGCCATTGGAGTAGGCATTGCTTCCAGCTGTTTCTTGATATTGAATGGAGTGAATTTAATTCACTGGTATTTTGAGTGCTGGAAATGATAAGATAGAGCATCTACTCACCATTCTGGGCTCCCTCTTATTGAAGATGGGGATATTTTTGGAGGCTTCCCCTCTAGTGATTGATTAGTTGTCCTTTTACCATTCACAACTGAATGGAGCAGGACTGTTAAGCTTAGATCTGATTCATTGGTTGTGGAATTACTTTGACCTATCCATCACTTGCTGCTAATGCTGTTTGGCAAGCAAGCAGTCCAGTCTTTTAGCTTTATAAGGTTGACATCTGATTTTTAGTTTTGCCTGCTACTCCTCTGAGCATGCTTTCTTACATTCTTCATTTAACTAGGGTTGATCCCCTAGCTTGATGGGGATATGCTGGGCTATGGCTGATCTGATTGTAACCTCATCTTATCCCTGATATCTTTTCACCCCTTTGCTTACTAATAATTAATTCAGCTCTACCTTAAGAATACTCGAAGATTCTGCTTCCATTGCCTTTTCAGGAAGAGAGTTCCAAAATTTCATTGAAAAAAAGATTTGCTCCAAAATGGTTAATCCCTCATGTTTAAACTGTGATCAACAGTTGCAGATTCTCTCAGAAGCAGAAATATTCTTTCCACATCTACACTAGCAACATCATTCAGGATCTCACAAGTTTCAATCAAGCAACTTCTTACTCTTCTAAATTCCAGTGGAAACAGACCAGCCTGTCCAATGTCTCCACAAAAGACAAGTCACCTATTACATGTATTGGTCTGGCAAACCTTCTTTGAATCTGTCATGTGGGAATATTTTAAAGGCAGTGTGCTGTATTCTTCTTCTTCAAACTGCTTCCAATGCAGTTATGTCCTTCCTTAAGTGTACCCAATACTGTGCACAGTACTCCAGATGTGATTTCACCAGTGCCCTGAATAACTGGAGCATAACTTCCCTATTTGTGTCAGACACAAAAACAGAAATTGCTGGAAAAGCTCAGCAGGCTCAGAAGAGGTCACCGGACCCAAAATATTAACTATGATTTTTCTTCACAGATGCTTTTTTCTGAAGAAGGGTCTAGGCCTGAAACGTCAGCCTTCCTACTCCTCTGATGCTGCTTGGCCTGCTGTGTTCGTCCAGCTCTACACCTTGTTACCTAAGCTACCTTACATCATGACCTTTTATTTTCTGCAGTAGTCTTTGATGTTGTGTCTTAACAGATGTTTTCTTGATGTCTAAGTGCAGTATATCCAGCAGTTCCTCTTTATCCACAGCACAAGTGGCTTCATCAAAGAACTCTAATAGAATGGTTAAGCATGATTTCCCTTTCACAAAGCCATATTGATGCTGCCTGAGTAACTTAAACATGTCTAAGTGCCCTGCTATATCTTCTTTAACAATAGCTTCTAACATTTTCCTTCTGACATGTGTCAAGCTAACTAGCCTGTAGTTTCCAGATTTATATCTCCATCCCTTTTGAAATAAAGGAGATACATTTGCTACCTTACAACCTAATGGGATTTCCTTTAATTTCAGAATCACAGCATTGTTACAATGCAGAGGGAGGCCACTCAGCTTATCATGCTTGCACTGGCTCTTCAGATGAACACCATTACTGAATGCCAATCTCCTCCCTTTTCCCCATAACAATGTGTACTATTTCTATCCAAATAATCATCCAATGCCCTCTTAAATGCCTCACTTGAACCTGCCTCCACACATTTCAAGATAATGATTTCCATACCCTAACAACAAAAAGATTTTTCTCACATCACTCTTGCTTCTTTTGCAAATCACTTTAAGTCTATGCCCTCTCATTTGTGTTCCTTTTATGGGTAGGAACAACTTCTCCATATCTACTATATCCAGTCTGCTCATCATTTTGGTAACCTCTATCAAATCTTCTCTCAGCCTTCTTCTCTCCAAGGAAAAAGTCCCAACCTCCTCATTGCTGAAATTTCTCATTTCTGGAACTATTCTCATAAATCGCTTCTGCACTTTCTCCAGCACATTTACATTTTTCCTATAACGTGGCACCCACAGCTGTATGCAATACTCCAACTGAAGTTTATTAAGTGTCTGATACAAGTTCAACATCACCTCCTTGATCTTGTATCCCATGCCCCTATTAATAAAATTGAGAACATTGTATGCTTATTAACTGCTGTTTCCACCTGTCCTGCCACCTTCAATGCATATATACACCCAGGTCCTTCTGCTCCCGCACCTCCTTTGAAGTTGTACTACCAAAGTGCATCTTTCACTGACTTGTCTGTGTTGGATTCGAACTTATATGCCACATATCTGCCCAGCACACCAACTTGATTTGATTTGATTTATTATTGTCACATGTACCGAGATACAGTGAAAAGTATTGTTTTGTGTGCTAACCGGACAAATCATATCTTACATAAGTACATCAGAGTAATAGAACAGAATGCAGAATATCGTGTTACAGCTACACAAAAGGGGCAGAGAAAGATCAACTCTAATATATGAGAGGTCAGTTCATAAGTCTGATAACTGCAGAGAAGAAGCTGTTCTTAAACTTGTTGGTATGTATTTTCAAACTTTTGTATCTTCTGCCTGATGGAAGAGGTTGGAAAAGATTTTGTTATTTATGTTGGCTACTTTTCCAAGGCAGTGGGAAGTGTAGACAGGGTCAATGGAAGGAAGGCTAGTTTTCATGATGGACTGGGCTGTTGTCACAACTCTGTAATTTCTTGGGGTCTTGGACAAAGCAGTCACCATACCACACGCACACGGATAGGATGCTCTCACTGGGAATTACAAACAATTGGTAAGAATGATTGTGGACATGCTGAATTTCCTTAGTCTTCTGAGGATGTAGAGGCATTGGTGTGCTTTCGTGAGTGTAGTGTCGAAGTGGATGGACCAGGACAGATTGTTAGTGATATTCGCTCCTAGGAAGTTGAAGCTGTTGACCACCTCCACTTCAGCACCATTGATAGAGACAGGGTGTGTCCTCCACTCTGCTTCCTGAAGCTGCTGACCAGTTCTTTCATTTTGCTGACATGAGGGTGAGATTGTTATTTTTACATCATGACACTAAGATGTCTATCTCTTTCCTGTATTCTGTTTCATTGTTGTTTAAGATCCAACCCACTACAGTGGTGTCATCAGCAAATTTGTAAATGGAGTTAAAGCTGAATTTGGCCACACAGTCGTGAGTGTATAAGGAGGAGAGTAAGGGACTGAGTTTGCAGTCTGGTGGAGAACCAGTGTTGAGGATTACTATACAGGAGGTAATATTGCTTATCCTCACTGATTGCAGTCTGTGGGTCAGGAAGTCAAGGATCCAGTTGTAGAGGTGGAGTAGAGTCCGAGTCATTTGTTAATGTCATTTGCCAATGTTACTTCATAGATGAGTAGATAACTGACAAAGAATGACAGGCTTTGAAACATATTCTCACTTTGGGCACTGAAAGGTTAAGAAAAATAAAATCCTCTGATATTTGTGATAATGGCTCCAAAGATACTGAAAACGTTGTTTAGATTTTAGAAGATCAACATAAATTTTGAGTCCATTTGAGGATACACAGGATTGAATTCTTGTCATACTGACAACAGTCAGGTGTAATGATTGACCAAATCCAACCTCCAAGAGAAGGTGATGCTCTACTGTTATTATTCCTAGACTATT